CAGGAATGAAGAACTCCTTGCCTATACACCCTGATAAAAGTAACTCTTGCACCTTTTTAAATCCAGCTGAAATACTATCCTATGCAAACATGTTACTTTTTCGTCTGTGCTTCAAGTTTAAACTGAAAGTGATCCAAAAAAACATGAATAATGGATCACATAGTAAACACTTTGACCCCTTTTTATTTTCACTTTTTCTGCAGCAATATTATCTTGATCCCTTTGGACACCTTTTGAAAGTAAATAATGTAACATTATAGCAAGATAGGCAGTTCGTCCATGCAGTGTGTTTCTCTTACAATTTACTTCCCAAAGTATTTTAGCCTTGAAACAGTCTCTCTAAGTAGCTTTGAAGAGCTTCTCTGCTGCAGCTTATTTGTATGAAAGACCTAATACTTTTTTCTTAATAAATGTTAGGGATAATTATTAAGCTTTTTAAATAAAATTATGAAGAAATAAATACAAAATTAAGATGTTTTTTTTTCTATGTTCTTGAGTCTTCTCTTAGTACTACAGCTGCTAAATTGGTCAACAGATGGCAACATAGCATTAGGCATGGAATGTGACTTTGAGAAGATCACAGCCACTCTGTGAGAACATGTGCAATGGAGACACTGGAGAGTATTAGACTGATAATTGAAAAATACATTACAAATCAAAGAAAACAGGTAAAGCAATACTTAAAATCTGTAGGCAAAATGTCAATTCACTTAAAATTTGCCAAGCACATCAAACCATAGAGTAAGAGAAAAATGCAAAACCAAATAAACAAGTAAAGCAAATGACATTGGAATCATGCACACAGCAGTTCACTGTGTTTTAAAGGGATTATATTGAATTCTATTTGCAATTTGAGTTACCTGTTTTCTTTTCTGTATAAATAGGCACTGACATCATGCATTTACCCCAGCTGAAAGTAATTGCTAAAATGGTGTCTTCCTTAGTATGTGTGCAATCACCCAAAAGCAATAGTGGATTGTTTTTGCAATAATCCATTTGCTAAACCATTGACTAAATTCTGCTGGTAAAGAGTTGTATGTTCTTTTCTTTAAAACCAGTAAGAATAGAAGCTTTCTGTCAGTGTGTCTGATTTTAGAGTCACTACCTTTTGCCAGAAAGGGTCTGGGCAAATGGAAGTTGCCCTGAGAGAAAGATGTCTGTCAACACTACCTCAAGCTGCACATGTTTGTGTGGTTGCTAAAGATCTGATTCAAGTAAATGCTCATGTTTGCTTTTATTTCTCCTATATTTTGTACAGCTGTCTGCATACTGAAGACTGAATTTTATGCTGATGTGAACAAGACTATCTTTTATTTCCCAGCTATATTGAAATTTGCAGCCACACAGAACTGTGCTATTTTCATACTACTGAGAGGAAAGCTGTTACTGCTCCCTCAACAGTGGTTTTGACAATGCAGTTTTCTTGGTGGAGTCAGCACTATATCTACACAATCATGGAGAATGTGTTCAATTTCTCTCTTCAGAAAAAAAAATACTTACATAGCTAAAAATGTGATGAAGCTTAAACATTGGCTCTCAAAGACAGCGAAAATCAAAGATAAATTTATGCAGAATTTGTTTTCTAGCACTGTTTGAACAAATGAACAAAAGAGCAGCTGTACTACATAGAGCAAATGTCTGCTCTGTCTCCAGCAGTGGCCAGAAAACTGATGCCTTAGGAAGAACAGAATGCGAGAGTAAGCATGTATGAAAGATACTTCCAGAATAATCAAAAATGTGCTTGTCAGTCACCAAAAAAAAAAAAAGGAAGCAATCATTTTCTTCATGCATAAATTTATTTAGGTGGTGTTAAAAACACAGCTAGAACTTAGTAACACTGTGTAGTACAAACAGAAAACTGGAAAAAAAAAAAAAAAGCGGTTTCTATTGAGCCTCTGTTTTACATCTTCAAAAATGTTTTTTTAAAAATGTAAGTCAGCTGCAAGTCTCGTATGTTTTACTGTGCTTATCAGAAAATTGAAGAGAGTTTAATCTCTGTATGATAATAAATGTACTGGGAACAGTACATTAAGGGGTAGTGGCATTAAGTTTTTAGGAGTCACTTGCCAGGGATTGGTAGCTTGGCATGTATGGTAAAGCTGTGGGTATTTTGATCACTGTGGCTGAATCTGGACTGTGGGACATAAACATCCTTCCAAACTCAGTTCATGATGAGCAGCACATCCACTTCCTTTGTATACACCAATGCCTCCATCACTAATCAATAGGCGGCCTTGGTGCAATTCAGTTATTTTCCAGTCTGGACAAATGTGGAGGCAGGATGAAGAGCAAGTGCGTAAGACACCTAACCTACCTTGATACACATTTATGTGTTTGCCTTTTGTTAAATATAGAACTGATGAAGACTCTTTATCAGGTATAAATATCCGAACAGTAAATTAATTTTTAGTATTGTTTCTTCAGTAAAGATAAGTTATCTATTCCTGCCAATTCTGCATGTGAACAAGCTCTCTGCCTCTTCCTTTCAGAAAATAGATACGAAGATCTCTGCTTATTTGAAATAAGAACTAGACCATTTATTAAAAGATTGTCAATCAGAAGTGAGTTAGACAAAATAGTAAAATAGTTTTTCTAAAATAAAAAAAATAGCCTTTATGAATCACCTAGGGCTATTCTTTGTTACAAGTTGTTGCTCAGAGACTGGTTTCCTATTACCTTGGCAAAAATAATTTCCTCCACTGTGATTCTTTTCTATGGGGAAGAGCCTGTCAAGTTCTGTTAAACAGAGATGCAAATGAATTATTTTTTTTCTGCCTTTTGGTACAGGATCATTCATTTCACACATCTCTCCACCTCAGCAGTAAAAGTGAGACATACACTTTACTACTGAATTTCTGACAAAATACTCTTATTGTGTGAGGGCAGAGAGAGGTCTTTCAGTTGACCTTGATGCTTCATGGGTATGGTTATATAGCTTCTAGCTTCAGAACTAATGGAATTGCTTTGTGGTCCATGGCTACCTGCACAAGGCTTTAGTAATTGTCCTGGATACGTATCAAGGCAATATTTTATTCCAGTTTGTTTTCTTTGTCACTCTGTTTCTGTATACTCCATGAAGTATGCGCAGAGCATTCAGTGTTCCCTAGATATGGGAGGAATTCTTTGCATCAGAAGATTTATTTTCCCTTTTATTCACTGTTTTACCTAATTTAACATGAATGTGAGACTCTCACTTGAGAGAATGAAGCATTCATCCCTGATTTTTTGGCTAGAGGAACTGGCCACTCTTGCACTTACTAGCCTTGCTTCTTTCAAACAGCAAGAGCAATTGCTTCTTCCTCTTCAGCAGAATATGTTTCAGCTCAGTTTGTAGCTGCCTTGCAGGTGGATTTAAAACTAAGCCTCTTTATTAATATATATGGTTGCTGCTTAAGACACTAAGTGCTACACATGGCATTGCCACAGCAAAAGGTCTGAGTATTTATGTATTTCTAGACTATTTGAAGGAAAAAACCCCAAACTTTATTAAATTTCCCAGTCTCCTATACTTTTTGGGGTAGCTTAGCAAAAGAGCTTTCACAAGGTCCAGCTTTAAGGTGATTAAAGGGAGAAAGTGCTTACAAGGCTAAGGTCTGCATGTGTGTCTGGCAGACCTTGTGATCTATGACCCAGCTTGGATCCGTTTCTGCTAGGAAGTGAGAGCCTCGGCGGGTGGAGCTGCTTAACAAAGAGAAGCTGGCCAGGATTCATGTAAAGTGCAGTCTGGGAATAAGGAGAGAATGCTATTTAATGCCACGTCCGATTGCAGGAAGATATACAGTGCTGGAAACACTCCTGACACATCCGCAAAGAAAAGCTATTAGTCACTTTGATTTCATCTCCTGCTGTACTCACACTATAGTCACTGCTATGGGCTAATAGCATGTAAGGGAGTTACTTTGTCTTAGTCAAAATACTTTAAAGATCACTTAACCCTTTCAGTTGCAGACGTATGCTGGGGAGATAGAACAGCAATTTCAGAGGTAGGGTCACCTTAAGCTTTCACACACAAAGAGAAGTTTATATGCCTGTCAGTGAGTGCGTTGTTGCAGATTCACTTGGTTTAGTTTAACTGAGCTTTCCTGTGACTGTTTTTTTTTTTTTTTCAGTTTTGTACAGTCTAGTGTCTGCACATAACCTGAAGCTGCTGGGGCTGTTTCTCTGGAAAAAAATCTTTTATTTGGTGGTTGCCCTGTCTAACAACCACAGATGAGATCTGCAACAATAAACAGATGGTTAATGCTCCATCCTCATTTACTCTTCTTAAAAACAGCTGCTGCCCATTCATCTTTTTCTGATCCTGTGCTTCAGGTAGATCATCCCCAAAAGATTTACAGCTCTCAGGTCTCAACTGGTGAGTCAGGAAAGGGCACTAGACGCTTCTGTGAGGTGTTGTACCTACCACAGTAGCATTTACATTAATAACACTGTAACAGAAACTTATGTCCTGTAAAAAACTTATTTATCATCCTAAGTAATTTGAACTATTTGATATTTGATATATTA